GTGGAATCTCCGGACGCAGGGGACGTCGGCATCCACGTCCGGTGGGGTCAGGACGGGTTGCGCAAGAGGAAGGCAAATCTGGACGCGACGTCCCGCGGACGTCGCGTCCAGATTAACGGTTTGCGTTTGGGCGTCCCGTGCGTCAGATGCACGGGACGCACGGGACGCAAAGTGAAATTTTTGCTGATGTACTATTACTTGTTCGGTTTGTTTTGTAGGTTGACCGCTCCTTGGAGCATCTTTAAGCCATTTATCTCGAAGGATAAGAGGAAGGTGATTAGTGTCAAAACCCCACTCAATTACTCAAGTATAGATACAGTTGATTTGCCATACACTGATTCCAGTCTTTTCAACAACTTCAACAGAGGTCTTACCACCAACTGGACTCTTTAAAGTGACAATTACAGCCCAAGTGGCAATATCAGTATTTGGAACCATTGTACTGAAGTTGTAAAAATGAGAAATTTGTGTCAAGAGGGGTAAAACTGAAGCTGCCAAAGAATCCCTGTTAGTGGCATTGCCAAGCCATTAGCGCTGAACAGAACTTTTGACGCGCACCTCTGTAAGGAGGTCTGAAAACCAAGTTTTTCCCGGAGTACGGAGGTACGGCGTATAAGTTTTGTCAATTCCGCTAGCAAGGGTGCGCTGCTAGCCGGGGGGTCAGTGCAGAAAATAGGATATAGTGGCTTGGCTGTTGTGGTGAGACTTTTCTCTTTTTTTTTTCTTTTTTTTTCATAATGCGTGGTTGTAGAGACTGATTAGACAAACCATTACACTAGGATCAGTCACCACCAACCTACCTGGAAACCAAGTTTTTTTCGTGAGACATTACAATACACAGCAAATCTTCTTAGGAGGAGAGATATACATACTGGTACAGAGGTATGGTTATTTTATTTATAATCCCTATCTAAACTAACTCTGTTACCAGAGAAGACAAAGTTAGTTAATATACCAGTTTTGATAGTAGTTTATCGGCAACACTCAAGTTCCAAGCAGTATACCTGCCTCTGAGTTCCCCGGAACTACCTCCTCAACCACCTCTGAGTTTCCTGGGACTGCGATACCCAGAGCTACCTCTTCTGATATCTCAACTGGGAGTGCTTCCTCTTCTGCTTCCTCCAAAGCTGCCTCTTATACTGTCTCCTTTGGAAATGCCTCCTGCCCTGCCTCCTTTGGGAATGCCTCTCATATGCTCTCCTTCAGGGCAGCTACTTGTGCTGCCTCCTCTGGAGCTACCTCTTAGGCTGCCTCTCCCGGAGCTGCCTCTTCCGCTACCTCCCCCGGAGCTGCCTCTTCCGCTGCCTCCCCCGGGGCTGCCTCTTCTGCTGCCTCCCCCGGGGCTGCCTCTTCTGCTGCCTCCCCCGGGGCTGCCTCTTCTGCTGCCTCCCCGGGCTGCCTCTTCTGCTGCCTCCCCCGCAGCTGCCTCTTCCGCTACCTCCCCCAGGGTTGCCTCTTCCACTGCCCCCCCTGGGGCTGCCTCTTCTGCTGCCTCCCCAAGAGCTGCCTCTTGGACTGTTTTCTCCTGGGCTACCTCTTGAGCTGTCTTCTCCGGAGCTGCCTCTTGGGCTGTCTTCTCTGGAGCTACCTCTTCTGTTGCCTCTGCCACTGCCTCTGAGACCACTGCTGCCTCGGCCACAGCCACTGCCTCTGCTACTGTCTTCCTTGGGAGTGCCTCCTCTACTGTCCCCCCCGGTAGTGCCTCCACCACTGCCTTCCCCGGAGCAGCCTTTACAATTACCTCCATCAGTACTGCCACCTCCACTAGAACCGGCTGGTCCACAGAGTAGAAAGACTTCTGATTTGATCCGAGATCAGCGGCGAGACTGTCAACTATTACGGTCGATTGGATGGAAGTATGCACAAATCCAACAACAAACCAGATTCTCTGTCCGGCAGATTAGATATGCATGTGCTTCTGAATGTCCTGCAATTCCTAAAAAGAGATCTGGTCGTCCTCCTATACTTACACAAGCACAAATCGAAGACCTTGTGGCTTATGTTTGTATGTCTGCTAGGAACCGACGTCTTTCCTATGAGCAACTGGCAGCAGAACTAGATTTTAGTGTTGGAAAAACAGCAATTCGAGTAGCATTGATGAGAGAAGGGTATCACAGACGTCTTGCAATGAGAAAGCCCCCGATCTCAGAACGGAACCGTCTGATAAGACTTCAGTGGGCTCTTGAGCATACAAACTGAACACAAGAACAATGGAATTCTATCTTGTGGACAGATGAGACCTGGATTACGGGAGGGAGACATACTAGAACTTGGGTTACAAGAAAGGCTGGAGAGGAGTGGGATCCAATGTGTATAGTAGAAAAACATCAGAGAAAGCGGGGATGGATGTTTTGGGGTTGTTTTCATGGTGAGATCCAAGGTCCTGGAATATTTTGGGAAAAGGATTGGGGATCAATTAATTCAGAAAGCTATTGGGCACATACTGTTCCCATTATTCATGGGTATATAGAATTGTGTCGCCGGGATGGGATTTATTTGAGGCTTATGCAAGATGGTGCTCCCGAACATGCTGCAGGAAATACAGCTACTGAGCTTCAGGAGAGAGGTATTAAAGTTATTTTTTGGCCTCCTTTCTCCCCTGACTTAAATCCTATTGAAAAAGTATGGCATATTATGAAAAATTATTTACAAGATAATTTTCCAGAAAATATGACATATGATAGATTACAGGATGCAGTCAAGGAAGCTTGGGGAGCTGTAGGACAGTATGAATTTAAAGAGTTGATAGAAAGCATGCCGGTCAGATGTCAAGCAGTTATTGAGGCAAATGGTCTCTTTACAAAATATTAGATATATACAAACAGAATAAATTGAGACTACAGTAATAGAACGTTCCTGCTTGTACTTACTAGCACACCCAAGTTGCTGTTGGACACTTTGTATGGGAATTGTCACCTTAGGTGTCCAACAGCAACTCGGCCATCCAAGTAGATGGCCTCCATTTAGGTTGTAACCTGAAACTGTTTCCAAGCCACTATACCCCATTTTCTCAACTGATCCCCCGGCTAGCAGCGCACCCTTGCTAGCGGAATTGACAAAACTTATACGCTGTACCTCCGTAAACACGGTGAAAGTGAAACGTAAAAGGTTCACTTATTTTTCTTCCACACTCGCCCATGTAAGGAGAGATGGGATTAGAAAATTTTTCATTTTCAGAAAGCACTAGTGACGTTGCTCCAATTGTCGTGGGATTAAGGTGTGTGTGTGTGTCTACTCGGGTACGGCATGATTCCGAAGAATGGCCGGGGGTGAAGAGTATTTCGCCCGAGATGATAATAAGGTGGGACCGAAGAAAGGGAAAAGAAAGAAAAAAAAGAGCCGGCACGAGCCAATGCGAAGACGGTTACCACAGCGAGATGGAGCCAGGATCAGAGTGAGAGATACCGGTACTCGGGTACCGGTATAGGATTTAGGTATCGAATCTCCACGCTTGTATGATGCCGGCACAAGTACGGTAGGAGTGCTTGTGGAAGACCTGTAGGAAGGAACATTACAGTAGAGAAAAGCGGTGGTCAGAGACGTTGATGGGCCAATTCGCCCCCTGGTTCCGTCTGCTACTCTTGGCGATACCGGGAAACAAGCTAAGTTGTGTTTCGTGGATAGCATTAACTTACTCGAGTTACGGGAGATTGCTACAATAACTTATGCCGCCACGAACCCCGCACAAGTTCCCGTCTTGGAATGTCGAAGACACCCTTGTCGATTTCACTGTTTCTGGATCAAGTCCCTGCAGGCCCCTCTCGCATTTTTGTGGGATTTGCATGACCATGGGTGCGTGGAATCCGGCCACAGAGTTGTAATCAATCACTCTGGAGGCTGATTGGCGTGGTTGACGTGAGGGCAGGGTCCTTTCCTCTGGTAACTCTTAAGTTGCCAAAGTTTTTGACAGGCTATGTTATTATATCTGATAGTACAGTACTGTACTCGAGTTGAATGTCGGCACCAGTACGGGACAGCTAATGAACTATTAGGATATCTATTGGTTTATGATACCACCTTTTTTTCCCGTTTTTTCCTTTTCTCCCTCCCTCGCGCGCGATGCTGCACATTACGGCCCCACACTCCCAGGAAGGGGCATAGTACTTTTGGGGCCCGAAGGGGATGGGAACGTGACGCCGGACATCGAGATGCAGTCTAGAGGGCTTCTTCTTTCCTTCTGGTTTCGATCAATGTGAATGAACCGGTGTAGTTGGATGGATGGATGGATGGGTGGAGCTCTGGACTGCGCAGCAGATTCATTGCACCGTGCGCAGGACAGTACTCGAGTAGACGGGTGATGATAGATGGATATAATTGGGTAGAATTGGAGTTGCACGGGTACCGTAGGATAGGGCACTATTAGTACTGGGCGGCGAATGGTATGTGCAGCCCTTTACGAGTACCGGTACTAGACTATAGTCTACTTTCCCAACCAACCATCCCCCCAGTTTGACCTCCTTGTAAATTACTTGTATCATACTTGTATCATATTATCATACTTGTATCATATCATAACTGGAATTGTAACTTACACCATGCCGTAGAGCCGCCTCCAGCCGACAAGCCCCACCACCAGCTTCCTTTCCCCTTCCACTGCTCTTCTTCCCCCCCCCCCCTCCCTCCATTCCTGCCCCGTGCAACCCTTCCCCTCCACCACATCCCCTCCAACAATTTTCTTTCCCTCCAATCCTCACCACCCCACCACCACCCACCACCGCTTCCTCCTCCTTGCCCAGCATCACGGGACTTCACATCGCTCATCCAGTTTAGCATCCATCCTAGACTCAATTGTTCCCAAAGTTATTTACTCTTTCTATTTAAACCCCCATCAATCCCCCCCCCCTCTTCACACTCCCTCTTCTATCGCTGTCCTGAGTTTTTTTTTATCGTTTATGCCCGTCTTTGGTTTGGGAACAAACAAGTCTACAAGTAAGTATGGTAGCTCCCTTATTATTGCTCTAGGGTCTGTGGGTCTTTGATCGTGTGCGGCGACCAATGAATTGAAATTAATAGTAATGTCTCCTGCTGCCGTTGCTACTTCCGGGACCGCCACTCCTGCTTCAAAACCAGATGTCCCTATACATGCTGCCTCTTCTGAGTTGGCGATGAAATATGAGCACGAGTACGCGGCTCACAATTATCATCCGCTGCCCATTGTCTTTTCGAAGGCCCAGGGTGTTCATGTTTGGGATCCCGAGGTTAGTTGAGAGATCTTATACTTTACCCCGCCACCCCTTGCGTGTTAAAGAGTGTTTTCGGTTGTTTTTCTGCTCTGAATTGGAGTGTTAATATGTCTGATCCTATCCCAGGGCAAACGATACCTTGACTTCTTGAGTGCCTACTCTGCCGTCAATCAAGGTCATTGTCATCCTAAGATTGTTGGTGCCTTGATCACTCAAGCCCAACGACTGTGCCTCTCCTCGAGAGCTTTCCTTAATGATGTCTTGCCAATGTTTTCAAAGTTCGTGACGGAGGTATACTTCGCAGTCTTCGTTCATCTTTCACCTCATGTACGAGTGATCTAATTTGGTGTTACACAGTATTTCGGTTACGATATGGTCCTTCCTATGAACACAGGTGTTGAAGCTGTTGAAACCGGTCTCAAACTTGCTCGCAAGTGGGGCTATCTGAAGAAGGGCATTCCTGAGAACGAAGCATTGATCTTTTGTGTCTCGGACAACTTTCACGGTCGCACATTCGCTGCCCTGTCTCTGTCATCGGATCCGGAGTCCCGTGACCACTATGGCCCATACCTTCCGAATATTGGCTCCACGTGCCCTAAAACTGGAAAGGTCATCAGGTATAACAATGTTGCGGACATCGAGGAGGTTCTTGAGCTGCAGGGGAAGAAGACTGCGGCTTTCCTTATCGAGCCAATTCAGGGCGAGGCGGGCATTGTCGTTCCCGACGATGACTACCTTGCCAAGGTTCATGCTCTTTGCAGGAAACACAACGTCCTGTTAATCTGTGATGAGATTCAGACTGGAATTGCTAGAACTGGCCGCCTTCTTTGCTCTGAGCATTCCGGTATTCGTCCTGATATAGTCCTCCTTGGAAAGGCTATTTCCGGAGGTGTCTACCCTGTCTCTGCTGTTCTTGCGGATAAGGATGTCATGTTGTGTATCCAACCCGGAACACATGGGTCAACCTATGGTGGCAACCCTCTCGGCTGTGCTGTTGCGATCGCCGCCTTGGAGGTTATTCGTGATGAGGATCTTACCACCAGGTCCGAGGTTCTGGGACAGAAATTCCGTGCTGGGATCAGTGCAATTAATTCACCCACCATCAAGCTTGTTCGTGGAAAGGGGCTTTTGAACGCCGTTGTCATCGACGAGTCCCAGACTAATGGCCGTACCGCATGGGACCTTTGTCTACTACTTCGTGATAACGGGCTCCTGGCCAAGCCTACTCACCAGAACGTCATCCGTCTTGCTCCTCCTCTTGTAATTAGCGAGGAACAGATTGATGAGGCAATTGGGATCTTTCGAGGATCTCTTGCGGGCTTGGTGAGTACCTCTCTACCTTTGTATTGAAGGATAAATATGTGCCCGCTCTAACATATCTACAACAGTCAACCTATGTGAAAAAGGACCCCGAACATTAACCTTTTCCTTGGTCATGCATACGGAGTTAAAGGGTCGCTGAGATGTAGTTTTTTCCTCCTTCTTAGAACTGGAAATATTGGGAACAAATTTTACAACTTTTCCTTCTTTTCTGGTTCCCTTATAACTTGGGTTTTACTTGGTGGTTCTCTTTTTACTTTTTTCTCTCCCTCTTGTCTTAACAACGGTAAATTGTTTCCGAATTAATACTTGATGATTGTGGAACGAGTTCTCTAAAGGGAGAGTGATTTTGCGTTGTATTCTGCGCGAGTACGACTGACGCATGTAGCCTCACTCGAGTATAACCCCTGCAAGTTCGCTTGCAAGAACTCCACCTACCCCACCCCACCCCACCCGCCAATTGACTACCTCCTGCTACCGAATGATGAACCGCGGGCAACAAGACATGAGATTTCGCAAAATCGTGCTAACTTCTAACTATTTCATCTATCCATTGACCAGTTAACCCCAAGGTCGATTAAATATTTTTAGTAGGTATGATAATCTTACTGCCATTTCATTTCATTTCCGTTTCCATTTCCATTCCGGGAACAAACTAGCAACTAATGGAGAGAAAAGACCCTATGTCACAAAAACAGTTACTTTGCAAAGGAAAAATGGACGAATATGTAAATAAAGAGACAAACCCGCGATAATAAACCCCCCCCCCCCCAACAACGACCCACGAATGAAAAGTAGTAAATGAGTTAATAGAAACGTTAATATCAGAGGAGGCGGAGATAGAGACGGGTGGAGGAGGGAGGGGAGGTTCATTAGTATTGTACAGTTTAGGTGGCAGGGGGGGTCTAGGTCTAACTTAGGCTGGCGAGTATGATCAGTTGGTTGGTTAGAGGTTTAGAGGAGGGGGTGATGGAATAGAAAGGAGGTAAGAAGGGCAGACCGTGCGCGTTCTTGACAAGCGGGGAGTGCTGTCGATGATGGGCTTTACGCACCGTTGCTGTTACGAAAATAAAGGGAAAGAATAAAAGGGAAGGAAATATAAAAAAGAATATAAAAAGTATAGGAGAAATTTAGGGGGAAAAAGAGAGGATACAATCATCCAGCATTTAAGGTAAAACAAGGGCGAAGCAAATCCAAAAGGAATAGGAAAAAGATGAAGAAGACCCTTCCCTTCCCTCTCTTTATTAACACCTGATTTAACCTAACCTGACCCGGCCTATCCTGACCTAGCTAAGCAGACCCAAAACTTCCGTCCCCAACACCGCCACCCTCCCTCACGTCACTGTCCACCTCCTCGAATACCTCACCGACCTCCCGGATGATCTCGTTGCGATTCCAGCAAACGCGCATTTCCCACACTTTGCTCATACAAGCGCTACTCACTTGCTCGAGCTGCTCAACGGTGTACCTGCCCGTCTCGGTGACGAGGCGGTTGTGCAGGTTCGCCAGGAGCGCGGGATCACAGGTTTTCGTGGTTTGTAGAGGGGGCAGGGCGAAGAAAGGGGGTGCGGGGTGGGGGGGGTTATGGAGGTGGGGCTGGGAGGAGGGTTGGGAGTGCGGGGCGGTAGAGGTCTGTGAAGGGGCCGAGTCGGAGGAGCTGGAGGGGACTACTGTGTTTTTCCGCTCATTAGTCACATAATAGAGAGAAGGAGGAGAGGAGTACCTTGAGTGTCAGGAAGTTGAGAGTCGCCGGTAGATATTCCGCCAAAGTTGTGGAATAAAGGTGGGTTCATGGGGCGGGGGGTGCCGTTGCTGTTGCTATAAGGATTAGAAAACGGCTGAGAGTTCAATCCTGCTGTTCCATCGCTTGTGCGTTTTCCAGAGGTGGTCGTAGAGGCGTAATTCATGATTGCCGAGAATCCGGTGACGGGGGTTACGCCGAGTGCAGCTCCAGGTTGAGAAGTCATCTGCGGGATCCCGTCTGCCGCTGTCGCTGCCGCCAATGGCTGCGAAGGATTGGCAGGAATGCTGGAGATGGCGGTTTGGAAGGCGCTCGCGTGTTCGCTGGACTGCGTATGCTGCGAGGGGGGGGAATGCAGCGCCGCGGGACTACCCTGACGACTGCTGGCGCCCGTGCCAGTATTCGTGAGGTCATCATTCTGGGAGACTTGGGATGCCTGAACTTCCATGCTCGAGCTGATATGACTGTATCCTCCAACCCCATTGGACGGAGGGAATGTGGTCGAAATGACTGCGCTTGCGCTAACAGTGATGCCAACATCTCCACCGTTTCCAGCGGTATGAGTGGGGGTCGTCTGCTTCTCCTGCGGTTTGTCTGACCCATCTTGGATCTGGTGCTCGGCGGGAAGGCTCTGACGATCCAATGAAGCACGGGTCTTTTCCGCTTCCAAGCGCGCTTCCCCCTCTGCACGCTTCTGGCGCTCGGCCTTCTCGGCACGCTCTTCCATCTTCTTGCGCTCGCGTGCCCATAATTCTGCGCACTGGGCTGCCATCGCTTGATCCATTCCTTCTATATCGGTAGCGATGACCTCGAGATGTGTCAGGAGCTCGTTGGCTTTCATTCTGTGCTCTTTGTGGCCCAATTCCATCCAATCATCCCTGATATACTCCACATCCCGCAGAAATTGCTTGGCACTACAGTAATAGCCATTCGAAACCCTCTCTTCAATAACGTCCATGTCCATATTGTAAAAGGATTTACCGGTGGTAGTGTCAATGACCTTCGGCGGAGAGTGTATATCCTTGGGTAAGAGCAATTGATAATTAGCTGCAGGTCCTTGGGCGGTGAGATCTGAGATGGCTTCGGGTTCTTCGAATAAGTGCTTAATCACTTCGTACTCTAGTATAGGTTTTTTAAACCGCCTAAGTTTGGACCTAACAGTATCTATGGCATAAAACAACCTCATCTTAAGCCAATTCTTGATCTGCTTGTCTTTCGCTTCTTGTGCCTTGCGCTCTTCTTTAGTCATCGCACGAGGCGGCGGCGGCGGGACAACGGGTAAAACTGGCAATTCTCGCTTCCTCCTTGTCGATGGATCGGGCGGGAATTCAGTAGGAGCCTTCTGAATATAAGAAATCAACCGATCAAAGTATTTCCGGCGCGCCTCCTACAATCACATTAGTAAGGAATTTCCACCGATTTAGAAAGGCTGTACAAACCTCATTAGGCATCGGAATTCTAAATCTATCCCTCTTGGAGAACCCGAAAAGATCGTGCAGCAACGTGGGGTCCAAATCCTCAAGGTCAGAGTTTGTAACACCAAGAACGAGAACAGGATCGTTTGCCGGAATGCTTCTCAGTAAACTCTTGAAGGTGATCAACCCTTGTTGGCCAATAGAGCTATACCAGGTATCCACATCGGGGATGAATACGATACTCGGCTTGTGCCGCTTGACCTCGACAAACAACTGCACTATGGCAGTTTCAACCGACTAATCTACTAGTTAGAAACGACCAAATCATGGCCCGATTGGAGTCACTTACCCTTGCAGAATCACCAACCAGGGTCGCTAGATCGAACGCTTGAACGTGCAGCTTCTCAAAATAGTTCAATAGTGCTGCTGCAAGATATTGTTGCCCCATTCCGGAAGCGCCATGGATCAACATCCGGGGACGGAAAACACGGGCTTGATCGAAATCTGGGGTAACGAATTAGCTAACGACTTCATTGAGCCCAACTAGATACCAACCTTGCATCATATTTTCACGTGAGAAACCACCATCTGAATCCTGGTCGTCCTCATACATGGCCTCCTCCAACACAGTTAATCGCTTGCGCTCCGGGAGGATCCCCTCCATGCACTTTTTCAGTTGCTCAAGAGGACCGATCAGCAAAGGCTCAACAAATGGTGGTAGCGGATCTGTTCCGGAGGATGAAGACCTCTGCGAAGACGGGACCACCTTTTTCATCGCTAGCATGAAGTCGCGAGCGGTGACGTGGATGGAGGTAGGGTCAAGCGCGAGCTTGTCGCTGGTCATATATATCTGCGGATATGTTCGTTGGACAGCGTTGAGCGCCGCTTCAGTGCATAGTGACTGTGTATTCGTCAGCACAAGATCCCGTCCGGAAAGTTATCATATCGGCCAACTGACCCTGAGATCAGCGCCGCCGTAGCCCTTGGTCTGTAAAGCCAACCCTTCCTTCAATGCCTCCGGCAGAGCTGGGCTCCATCCCCTGGTATGTATGTCGAGAATAGATTTCCTCGCATCCACTGACGGGAGAGGGAAATAGAACTCTCGATCAAAGCGCCCAGGGCGGCGTAGTGCGGGATCCACCGCATCAGGTCTATTAGTAGCACCAATTACAACGACCTGTCCTCTGCCATCCATACCGTCCATCAACGCGAGCATGGTTGACACTATCGACGCATGGATTTGGTCCTGCTTTGAAGATCTAACGGGGGCGAGTCCTGTTCACGAATTAACTTCATATTGAATAAAGTGGATCAAGGAAGTCTTGCCATCAATTTCGTCAAAGAAAATGATACTCGGCTGGTTGTTCTTCGCCTCCTCAAACAACAGTCTGAGCTGGCGTTCCGCCTCACCCACCCATTTACTCAGACAATCCGCCCCTTTCCTCATATAGAAGGTAACTTTTCTGGTTTCTGTGCTACAGCTCGCGGCGAGAGCTCTCGCCATCAAAGTCTTACCGGTTCCAGGTGGACCATGGAAGAGCACACCACGAGGCGGAGTAATCTTCTTGGCTAAAAACAACTCCGGATAGGTCAATGGTAACTGGACCATTTCCTTGAGATTTTGAATGACAACATCCAATCCACCAACCTTTGAGAAATCCACATTACTATCGGCAGCGCCCAAGGGGTCAATATCTGCGTTGGCGTTTTTCCCCTTGTTTATCTTGCCCAGGGAACCAGGTGCGCCTCCTAGCGGATCGCCGCCGTGCAATTGTGCCGAAGGAGGTAACAAGCCAGCCGTGGCAGTGCTCGGAGTCATGATGGTTCCAGCAGCGCCAACTACACCACCATACATCCCTGGCCGGGTGGGCCTCTCATCGTCACTGCTATCGGAGTCATCCTGTACCGTGGGGTTCATGGGCCTCCCTCGTCCGAATGGGTTAAATGAAACACTGCCACCAAAAGGTCCAGTGGTGTCAAACCAAGACTTTTGTGCACCCGGAGCGGTCTTCCTTCTAGGTTCGTCATTGCCACTATTGTCCGGCTCTTCGATCAACTGAGCATTCTCGGGCCGTAGAATCCGGTAGTCCACATTCTGGGTTCTGCGACGGAGTGTCCTCTCAGGAGCAGTTTCGCCTTCCAAAGCTGCGGCCCGCTTAGCTCGCTGTCTAAGACGTTTGGGGGATGGAAGTAGATCCTCCAACTCCTGGTGGAGCTCCACGTGCTCAGAGTGGCTGAGTTCCCCGGACGATGTTGCCCTCCGCTTTCTAGACGACTGCGAGGTCGACACCGGACGTTTACCTTTATGGCCACGGCCTGTGGGCTCAGAGGACTCATCTTCGGGGCCAGAGTCAATTTCAGCCTGGCCCGAACGAGGCAGTTTTGATGGCGATGACCTATTAGACATGCTATCGTCCCCAGTATCGTCCACACCCTCCTCCTGTTGATATTCCTCACTGCTTTCACCAGCTTTTTTACTAGCACCCCTAGTGGCTCTCCCGGGGCCTCGGTGCCCCTGACCCCGCTTAGCTCTTTGCCTATCAGGCGTAATCTCGGTAGCTCTGTTGGCTTTCAGGGAAGAGGTACTCCCACGGAGGGGGGGTACATCGTTAATTTTACGACCGCTACGCCGACTCGGTTGGAGGTCGGAATCATCGTCATCTCCGTCTCCATCTTCTGGAGGCACGTTATCATTGCCCGGTTCGTCATCCCTGGATTGTGAGTTAACCCCCTCTGGTTCCTCATCGGTGCCCCGCACGCCCTCGTTCAAATCTGCAGCAAATTCAGCCATATGGGAAACTTGCTCATCAATTCCACCAGCTTCACCAGACTCTACAGCTTCTCTCAAAGAGGCTTCAGCGAGGCTCTCTCTCTCTTCTAAAATAACATTGTCAGCCCCGGGTTGTCTGACGATTTCGCCGTGTTTGCCCGAATTCGTAAGCTGTAGTGTGGGCTCCTCCGACGCTCCCAGACGGGTGCTCCTACGAGCCACGCCGCTCCCAACAGCTGGCGGCCCGGCGCTGCCACCGCGGGCTCTCGTAGCGGACTTGAGTGGGCCTTTGCCCCCGATGGTTGGACGCGACTGAGCGGTCGCGGAGGTGGCGCGGGTCGTGCGACGGGTCGGTACTTGATCTTCGTTCTGTGTCTCCGGCTCAGCACTCCGACCTTTGCGTTCCTTCCTAAGACCAGGAGGAATCTTGATCTTAACTAGCATTGACGGTTTTTTAGTAGGGGCCCTGGCTCCCTTTTTGCCAACATCATCATCAGCTTCCTCCCCCCCACCCCCCCCCTCCTCCTCCTCAGCACTGCTACCCTCAGATGAGGAAGGCTCTTCCGCTTCGCTTTCTTCCCCGTAATTGACGGGCCGGGTTTTTCTCGAACTTCTAAGGGGTCTACCACTGGCCCCGAGGGTGACAGGCTCATCGTCGGAAGCCACACTAAGTCCATCGCCACTGATGGAGATGTCGTCATCATCCGAATGGTAGGCATTCCTTTTGCTGCGCCTCCCCTTGGTTGCAGTGGTCTTGCGACCCTTTGCTGCCGTCTTCTTGCCAACTGTTCCTTTGCCCGCAGTTCTCTTTCGAGGGGAATGAACCTGGTCGCTGAAGTCCTCGTCCTGAGAATCGGAGGCGAGCGGATCGTCAAGCTGTCTCTTCCTCTTGCGCCCTGGGCGTGGAGGCATCCTTGAAATTATTGGAGCAGTGAGAGGACTATGTTAGTGCAGAGGCAAGTTTTTATGTAACGGGGAGAGGGGGGTAAGTGTGTGTTGATAAAAAGAAATTGTGACAAAGCGCGTTCAAAACAAACTAAGCGATGTCGTAATTAAATAAGATAGAATGGGGTTAAAAAGGGTATTAGAGGCAGGTAAGGAGCGAGGTAAAAGACTGTTAGACGTTCGATGTACCGCTGCCGGGTGAACGAAGTGGTTGTATGGTTGTGGAGCACTGGGGAAAATAGAAGGAGGGAAGCTTTGTCGGCTGGTGGTCGGAGGTGGTTTTGTGGTAGGTCAGTCGCTAATTCCACTCATGCCCTTTTTTTTTTTTCGCCCGGGCTTCTCAGCTAACCGACGACGACCACCATGACTAAACCTTAGAGGCAAGCGGGAAAAAGAAAAGAAAACACACCCAAATAGTAATTTGTTTTCCCCCCCTCTGAATCTTCTTCCCCTTTCGCAAATAACGGATCAAGCTTTGCTGATTGTGAAGGAGAGAGAGGGAGGGAGAGAAAAAAACGAGCGGTTAGAGTACAGCACGGCACAGGTGAGGCGGTCGGGGATGGCGGGGATCTTGACGCATTGAAGGGGGATTGTAGCTAGTCGAGACAAAATGGTATCATAATTTACTTTATGGTCGAGTATACTGCGCGAGTACGGTACCGGTACAGGTGAGCAAGTAGGTGAGATGGTAACTCCAAGTGCTCGTACAAACAGCACCACGAGCGAGAAGCCCTTTTTAAATATCGGATAGTTCCTCTGAAGGATCTACCGTACTCTCCCCGCTCAGTCCTGTGACAGAGCAATCCGTGAGTCGAGAGGGCCGGCGGGGTTAAGAGCGACGTAGAATACAAGTATCGTTAAAGGCAACAGGACGGGGAGAAGAAAAAGCGCCAACTGGAATGGGACGAATAACGCAAATCCCATTGCCTACTTTCGTTTGCCCGTCTTTACATTATTATCTCGTGAAGATTCCTGAGGTGCCTTCTCGCTTCTTCTTCTGCCTCGAATTCTCAGCCTGCCCACTCCTCTGTCGTGTGGGTGACCTGCTTACCAAAGCCAATGCAGGCCTGCTTGCTGCGGCCTGCTTTGCACGCCGCGCCTTGCTTACCGTACCGCACTTGTCTGCCTGCTTGCTTTGTAAATTTATGTTTCTCTCTGCTCTCGCCTCACACGCCATCGCACTTCTTTGCCCCCGCTCCTCTTCAGCCACACTCACCATCAAGCACTCGAATCGTCATTATTCCCCTGAATTATGATATACGGTAAACACCGGTCTGATACGGTAACAACATCTTCGTTTCGTTTTCTTCGCAAAGCATCTTGTGTCAAGATGGAATCCTGACCACCTTCAACCGCCATCACCATCATCGCGGTCTGCACCTCTCTGTTCGTCAAAACCACTGTACAAGAGCTGAATGATGACCCAACTAGAGAGACCTGTGAGTTCCAAAATAAGCGCAAGGTATCCGACAATTGTTATGACGCTGGGTACTATGCAGGAGGGAAAACACCCCTCCACCAATCTCTAAAAAAAGAATCTTGGGCATAGTCTTGGTGCAGCACAGTAACGGCTCGGACACCCATCGCAAACACACAAAGCCCGCACCGTCGATCCCGTATCTTCGCTACCAGTTTTTTTTCGCCCTGTTACCCTCCACTCTCACGTTCTCTGGAACGATGGCAAGGGAGTCGGGGATCACCCTTTTTTTTTCCGCCTGCACCCCGCTTTCTTATCAAGCACCGGTAAGATCTCCGCAGGCTAGATGTCAGTGTTGATAATGGTCAAAATTTTGTTTTTTATTTTATTTTTAGAAATGGGTACAGTACTACGGGAGTACAGTGCCCTGTACTCGAGTACCGGTACTTGAGTAGGGTGCTCGGGTGTGGGCGTGGGGACCGGGCAGCCTGGGATTCTAGAGGCCTGGCCGTTCATGCCGTCATAAGAAATAGAAGAGTGAGTCTCGGATGAGAATTGCTCAGACAAACAAGAAGCTTTGACACCTATAATCCTTGGCTGTCCGGTCACCCATGTCCATATCCGAGTATGTGCTCCAGTGTAGAGTACAAGTCCCTGGCATGAACGGACTGAACAGCAGGGGGTTCCGGTGGCTGAAAGTCCTTTGCCAAGGACACTGAATCACCCCTGTAAATAGCAAAAGTAGTTAGCATAAATGTAATCAAAAAGGGTGAAATTTAGCGAAAAAAAGAGATATTCTCTGCATCACTTGAATATATAAACATTAAACTAAATATTAAATACTAAAAAATAATAATAAATAATAATAAATACAAAAAAAGTAAAAGTAAAAGTTCACCAGCGAGTATGGCCACTGGAAGCAGCAATAATAGCCTGTATTCTTTCTGGCATTGAATCCACAAAGGTTAAAAGATGCTTCTCTGAAATAGAATCCTATACCTCCCTTATTGCCCTCCCCATGCTCTCCAACCCTCATGGCCGTGGATGCTGCTTGTTTAATTTATCTTTTAAGATAAACCAAACATTCTCAATTGGATTGAGATCCGGGAATGTGGACGGCCAGTCGAGTTTGGGAATACCATACTGCTCCTGGATCCGCTGTGTATAATGTGCCCGGTGAGCAGAGGCTCCATCCTCTATGAGCCAGAGAGGATGAGCAGTATGCTTACTCTCCCGCTCCCAAAATGGTTTGAGTACTAGGATAAGGACATTGTCAACATAACGTTTAGATATTATGGTACCTCAGTCCTTATCCCAGAGAACAGGGTCGCATTTCTGGGCCCCCAAAATGCCACACCATACCATAATCGTATCCTGCTTGGGAAACTTAGGGAGGAGGCAATTATCATGATACTCCTCCCCTCGGCGCTGGGTCACCCAAACCCGACTTGTGTGACCAGACAGCCAAACATAACAC